TGTGTGTGTGTGTGTGTGTGTGTGTCATGAGGAGACGAGGAATTGGCCAATGACGTTCAGCAAGCCAATCAGGATGAGGCCGTAGTGGAATATCTTTGACCACACCGTCAGCTCCCCTGGGGACACAGCACAAATGTTGGTATGTGTGCGGATGAGTGTGAGCGTGAATGAGTGAGTGAGCGTGTGTGTATGTGTGTGTGTGTGTGTGAATGTGTGTTGTGTATGCGTGTGTGTGTATGTGTTGTGTGTGCATATGAGTGCCAAAGCACAAACCACAACAAGGCGTTGTCGTCACCTCCAACCAAGCAACCACCACTCCCTCCTCTACACACACACACACACACACGCTCCTCCAGCACCGCATGTGCGTGCACCTTTTCGTCGCTGCATCTCCATCTTCGTCAGCGCCGGAAGCGCAAACAGATACACGAGTCCACTGAACGCCCCCGTGTACCTGTACACGTCAGCAGTCGGGGGTGGGGCAGAATGGTGAGCACCGGTTTTCGTGGCGGTGAAGAGGGGGGCACACAGCCATCTCCATCCATCCATCCATGTGTGTGTGTGTGTGTGTGTGTGTGTGTGTGTGTGTGTGTGTGTGTGTGTGTGTGTGTGTGTGTGTGTGTGTGTGTTTGTTTGTGTGTGTGTGTGTGTGTGTGTGTGTGCGTGTCTCGAGTGTTCACCTGAGGATAGTTCCGATGGAGGGATAGAAGACGGCAATCAAAACGCAGCACGTCGTCACCATCAGATTCAGCACAACAACATGCAGCGTCCTGTAGTGGCAACGAGATCGGTGGAGAAAGCACAGCAGAGACACAGAGAGAGAGAGACAGCATGTGCGTGTGCGTGTGCACGCGTGTGCGTGTGTGTGGCAGATGAGCTCTTGTTCACTCATCAGCAGCGTCAGCAGCCAACACCACAGCAAGCAAGGATGCGCCGGTGTGTGTGTGTGTGTGTACATGTGTGTGTGTACATGTATGTGCGCGTACCCTGGCCACTCCTTGCCGTTGAACAGGGCAGTGAGCACTTGGAAGCGCACAATGTACATCAGCAGCGGGAACCTGCCGCAGCAACAGCAGTGGCGGCATGAGGACATACACGAGGGGCAATCCGCATCGTGCCGTGTGTGCACGTGCAGGTATGTGTGTGTGTGTGTGTGTGTGTGTGTGTGTGTGTGTGTGTGTGTGTGTGTGTGTGTGTGTGTGTGTGTGTGTGTGTGTGTGTGTGTGTGTGTGACGTGTATGTGTGTGTGTGGATAAAGGAGGGTCATGCATCGTCATTCTGTCTGTGCGTGTGTGTGTGTGTGTGTGTGCACGTACACAGTGAGCATCTGGATGAAGAGGAAGACATCTGCCAGCAGCGCAAACAGGAAGTTGTCCGCTGTGTCGGCGGCAATGGCAACAGCATGGCGTGCAAGAAGCGCACGCATTTGGTGGTGGTCGAAATGGCAGTGAGGGGAGTGGGTTCATACGTGCAGGGAACGAGTGAGTGGCATGAAGACGTGTTGCTTTCTCACGACGATGACAATTTTTTCGAGCACACACACACACACATACACACACACATCGACACACACAATCACGCACATGGACGCGCACATGGACACACACAATCACGCACATGGACACATATAGACACGCGCACACCCGTGTATGAAATGAGACGCACCATCCTTCTTAAAGTCGAGGAGGAAGTTGTTGTTGATCTTCGTCTTGTCACCTTTGTAGGCAAGATAGTAAATCACCCCTGTACACACGCGCGCCCACATGCGCAGATGATGTTTGGGGAGGCGTGTGAGGGATGGCAGTGCTGGTGGCGAATGATTGCGTGGTGTCAACGCAGCCACGCAACAACCAACGCAGCAACGTAACAACAACCAACACCGTGGCCATCACGAGCACTGTGTCAAACGCCGGCAACGCACCGACGATGGTGTATGTGAGGGCGACAAAGAGGTACGCGAGGTTGAGGTCGCGTGCGTTGTTCTCGGGATTCCGCTGGTTGCGCATGATCGACAGCACGCCGTTGTGGATGAAGAACGACAGCGCAAGCACGCCCGTAAACGACACAAAGTTGCTGCTGAACCTGCATACGTGTGTGTTTGTTTGTTCGTTTGTTTGTTTGTTTGTTTGTTTGTTTGTTTGTTTGTTTGTTTGTTTGTTGTGTGTGTGTGTGTGTAAACAGGAAGGACAGTGAACGAATTATGCATACACGAATGCAGGTTCATGCAGCAGCAGCAGCAGCACCACCACCACCACCACCACCATCTGCACCGTGCATGCATGTGGGTGGACATGTGCGCGTGCTCACAGGGTCTGGTGATCAAAGTTGATGCCACCGACGGGGGAGTTGTCGTAGGAGCCGCCGTTTGCAGCAGCGTACACAACAAAGAACAAAATGTACACAATCGACACAATCCCTGCGGTGGCCGTGGATGGTTGGTGGGGGGCAGGGCCAAACACGTGTAAATATGCGTGAATGTACGTGTGTGTGTGTGTGTGTGTGTGCGCGCGCGCGCGAGTGTGTGTGTGTGTGTGTGTCTGTGTGTGTGTCACTGAAAGTATATATATTATAAGTCATAATTTAATCCATATATCTAGATATTCTTTTTCGTATGTTTTACTGTCCTCCCTAACTGACACTGATTTTTTTTTTTTGTTTAGAGCTTGTCTTTTTTTTATTTTTTTTATACTTGATATTCTACG